GGCATTCTTGTTTAAATTCAATATATAACTGCTGCTGTACAGAAATAGCCATTTGGCTCTGCTTCCCTAGACACTAAAGCTCAATAAGCCTGGTTTCAAATTGCTTTGTGGGACATGCAGTAATATTTTTGCAATTGTTTCTTATGATTTTGATACTGAAAGTACCGCATTTCAATTCTTATTTCGACGCTCACAGTTTGTCCTTTTATCTCCAGCATCACAAATCACTTCTCTGAACAACACATTTACAACTAAATTGAGATTCCATAAATATTCTGCAAAATCCATTTTCATGCTGAACATCTAGTACAGTTATTTGTCCAAAAAGCAACAGCATTTTAAGGGTAGTCACTTGATACAGCATCCCTTCTGTCTGCTGCCTAAATGTCCCTTTTTGATTGCTCTTCATTATATTACAAAAAAAGCATCTTTTGCTGTTGCTATACCCAAGTATTCTGTCTTCTCAGTTTCTATTTTGTTTTGTTTCTTTTCCGTTACATACCTATTGTACCTTTCACTCCATTTATGGAGCATTGCATTCACTAGTCCTGCAAAATATTCCTAAAGTATTATTAATACATTTGAGGACTATATTATGATAGTCTATTTATTATGAACTTCATTTTACAGCCTGGAGGACAGTGCCCTGGAATTTTTCTTTTCAAATCCTTCCCACAATAAAAAAATATATATATGCATTTTCAGTACCTCAGGATTATTCCAAATATAAAAACATTTCATGGACCCAAAATCATTTTAGCCACTTCTTCCAGTTTTCAGCCAGAGCAATTCCTTTGTAAACCAAATTATTTTCAGACTTATTCAGGACTCAATGTGATTTTGAAATCAGAGTAAAGGGGTGATACCCAGGCACAGCAGTTCAAGATGTAACATGGATCAATGTTTCTCAAAAGCAACTTCAAAAACAAATGGATGTGTGCACATAGAAACAATGAATCAGTGGAGTATGAAATTAATATCAAATACAGAGTGTGCCTGGATTAACATGTATTTAAAAGCTAGCCCTGTTTTAACAATTCAAGCTCTACTTTAACATTTGAGGTCCATTTTATCATTTTAATAAATACAATATTTTATGCCAGTGATAGATTCAAAACTTGCCAATTTATTATATACACAAAAACACAAAACTTAAAAAGAAAGTCAGCTAAGCAGATTCAACAGTTCTGAAATTTTCTTCGTGGAGCAATACAAACCAAGAAATACTTGCTTCTAGCAACAATGGAAAGCAGGTTTTTTGATCCTTTTATCCTTTAAATTTCTTTTTTCACCCCTAAGTCATAGGTGTTATTGTTTTATTCTTGTCTTATAATTTATTATAGACAATCCTAGCCTTATGCCAAACACAGAAATACCCTTCTATGGCTTTATGCTGCATGGTGAGTGAAAAATTTTACATTCACAAAACTGTTACACCTACCCTCGCAGTATTTATAGAATGATTACCTCATTTTTCACCTCAAAATCTAAAGCAAGTTATTTAAGAGTAGTTTAAAATGTTAAGTATTTTAGGGTGCCCTGAACAAACCCCCTAGAATTTGGATTTCCAGAGTGGTTAGCACTTCTGAAGGGCTGTCAGCACATCCCACTGACACAGCTACACCTCTAGAAACTAAAGGCATCCCAATCCCTATTCTGAAACTCCTTCCAGTTGCCAAAACCACGTTGAAGTGTAGATGGCATCTATCTGCACCTTGTTTTCATCTAGCACAGATTTCCTGCTCCTTCCCATTTCATTTCTTCACATTTAGTGATTTGACCTCTTTTTACCTCCCTCTCCAGTGTGATGCATGGTTCCTGTCTCTGGGACACACCACGATGGTTATGGGGAGACCATGGAGGATACCAGATGAATCCATCTCACAACACTCAACATGTGACAACACAGCAGCCCCTTAATAATCTAAACAGCAGAGACCTTGCCAGGCCAAAGCTACCATTTCATGAGTAAAAACAGAATATTTTCAACATTCACAAAAAGTTTTTAAATTTCTCTATGTAACTTGAATAAATTTGGGCAAGTGTCACAAGAGAAGGTAACAGGCACCTCCCTAGCTGTAGTAAGAACCCAAAACTATTTAATGAGCATAAAGTATAAACCAAGTTTTACTAATAAATTACTTTATTAAAACCAAGAATATCTGGCATTTAAATTATGTAAAATTAAAGCAGGAATACTTAAGTTAAAGGACAAAACTAAAGGCATTAAACTTTTGCAATCGATAACTTCAAACAGCACTTTAAAGCAGCAAACCTAATAAGACACAGATTGGTGAGCTTGCTTCATTTCTACATAAATTATCTCTGAGAACCAAAAAAGGTAAGTCTTTCCAAAAATTTAATGCTAATAATACACAGATGACTTTATACCACAAAGCACTATTGTATAGAGTATGACAATTAATATGACACCTACTTAAACACAATAGCTGAAGTGTTTAAAATGGGTAGAATAATTATTTTTATACTATATATGATGATATTTTGATTGAGAAAGTATTCAGAGGACTTACACACTTATCTGAAGCATTAAGCCACAAAACACCAATTCTGAAATGTGAAAAAATAAATGCTGGAAAGTGTTAAATACTATGGAAAAAAAACCAAACTTGTACACTTATTCTTAATATAGAAGAATTATATTGTCATATAATACAAGGTTTGGTGTGCACTTCATAACAAATAAAAATTTATCTCCATCAATATGGCTGATACTGTAAAATAAATTGCTGTTAAATTGTTTTCAATCGAAAATATAAACGTTTTTTCCCTTGCTGAAGTAATACATTGCCAACTTAAAAATCAAACTCTTTTCTTCACCATAGTTTTATCTATCACTTAGTTTCACTAGGCATGTAATTTTTCTTGCCTTCCATCCCACCACTGCAGCTATAAACTTCAGCTTTCCTTGGAGTTTAAGGAATGTCATCTCTGTACCAAAATTAGGTGTGAATAATTCTTATTCAACAGCTTAAGCAGTGAGGCAGAACAGGACACGTGATTAGAAAGCAGATGATAGTTTCAATCTTTGTATCCTCAGTAAGTCAAAGGCGAAATTTTTTTCTAATATTGAGAAACTAAATCAAGAGGAAATTCTCAAAAAAGACCAGTTGGCTTTCCAGACATCACTGTGACCAGAACACAATACCATGGATATCCATCTCACACACACGTTCATCATGCCTCCAACATCACATAAAGTGGGAAAGACTTTACCTGAGGAGAAAAATGATGAACAAATGTTGTCACAAAGAGGCAGGGGCCAATATCAGATGTGTCACATAGTCTTCACTAAATTTGCTTTCACAAAGCACAACGACTCTCTCTGCATTGAGCCACAGCCTTTTCCAGAGAGCAGCAGCATCATCAGTTTGGGATGGAGAAGTCACATGTTTTCTGTTAGTGTTTGTCAAACCTCTGCTGTCCATAACATGCAAAGTCCCACACAAAAGCCAGAATATAATTGGAGCAAACAGGGACATTATTCAGAATCACAGAACATTGGGGGTTGGAAGGGACCTCTAGAGATCATCAAGTCCAACCCCCCTGCCAGAGCAGGACCATCTAGTTTAGGGCAGGTCAAGGTCAATATTCTCAGGACCTTACCAGTGAGGGACCTTTGAGCTGAGAAGACTCTGGAAACCATGGAGTATTCCTTAAATCCTGACCCACAGAATTTGTACAGGAGAAATTATTAGTCTAGAAATATAGATATTAAAACACACACAAAAAAGATCAGTATAGTCAATGCAATCAGGCAATACTGCTGCCTTTACTGGAGAAGTGTGATGGAACTGGAGCCAACCTCTGGGTCCTGCAGTAGTTCTGAATGGTTTTACCCTTTTTGCTTGTCTTCTCCTACATCTATCCACTATTTTTGCTGTTGTGTTTCCATCTTTATCACCATTTCCTTTGTGGTATTTTTCATATACTCATTCTCTACCTATTCTCAGTACCCTACTCAGCACTTGAATTTCCCTTTATTCTATAATGTTTACCCTTTCTACTACCAACTCCAAAGTAGGCCCAACGACAGTAAGCCACAGATGCAGAAGCGAAGCACAGTCCAACACCATCTCCACCTGCACTACATCCCCACTTTCAACCCTAAATACAGCAGGACTGAGTAGCTCCTGTGTGTGACAGAAGCTTACATTGTAACCTCATGTATTAATCAAAGTGAAAAGGACACCATTCCCTAATAACAGTTTTAATAAACCCTTACCTAAAGTCAGAATGAAAAAAAAAAAAAAAATTGCAGGCAATATCTGAAAATACTTATTTAGTTATTTTCACTTTCCAGAGAACAGACCTCACCTGCAAGATCAGGAAAAATCATCATGTAAGAGTGGCAATGAAAATAACAGTTAAACAATTAGCTGTTAGGAAGGTTGCTTAGGGAAAACTGTAGCTACTTCTGGAACAGAGGCTGCAGCACTTGGCCTGCAGCTGAAGTGACTGGTATCAACTGTGTTTGAAAGATGCTTTTTCCATACCTTTGATTAATGTAATTCATGATTGCAGTTGAATGTTAATGTTTCCAGGATGCTCAGCTCCATCACCATCTTTATTTATTGTCTTGGCTTCCTGACTCACCAGAAAAATATGATTTTACCATTCAACAAACCATAGATCTCAGTGACAAAACTAAAACATCAGATTCATCAGACTTTGCATTATTTAGAACTATGTAGCTGGATTTTTCAAGGACACTAGGGCAAAAGAGGACTTCCTTCTGTCTATCACAGCCGCTGAGTAGGAGCACAAGTAACTCGTTAGGATTCAAATCCATTAGCAGCAAACAACTATTCCTCATTAAAAATAACACAAATCAATACCTGCACTTTGCCTCTGCACTCTGAGGAAATGGACCTGAATAAAAAAAGGAAAATTTGACTCTTGTTCAAGACCCACCGAGTTAAAAGTACTGTAGACTGCATGGAGAAACAGCTCCTTTTCCATACACTTTGGGTACTTACATCAAATTCATTTAATGCAGCAGCAAGTTCTCCTATGCCAGTGTGCCCTTTGTTCTCATCAGTGGGCGAGGTGGCCTGGGCAGCGTTGGAGATACCAGCAATGGCTTCTTGTACTTGCTTGAAGACGTAGTCCCTGTTGGCCCTGGTGGCTGCAACGTCAGGGTGCCGGAGGAAGGCTTGGGATGCAGTGTACAACATCGTGGCATTCTTCTTCAGAGCTCCTCGAGCTGCAGCCATTTCATCCCTGCAGTGAGGGTCTTTCAGTTCCTGTAGAAACCACACAATGTTCACACTTGTAAATGGAAGTTCTCATGTTAGAATGTATGGTCTGTACAGCTTAACTGTCTCTGCATAAAGGCTGTCCAGTGATCACACAGAGATGGAATCAATGACAGAATCTACCATAAGTCACAGAGAAATCCTCTTCCTGCCCCAAAAAAGTCCATTTCTACTGCGTAGCTACAGCTGTTACATTCTGCTCCCAATATCTTAGAATCATGGTGCCTCAAAAAGACCTTTGAGATCATCAAGTCCAACTGCAAACCTCGCACTTGCCAAGTCCAGCTCTACATCATGTCTGTCAGCACTTCATCTACAAATCCCTTAAATATCTCCAGGGATGGTGACTCCACCACTACCCTAGGCAGCCTGTTCCAGGGCTTGACAACCCTTCTGGGGAAGACAGTTTTCATCATGTCCAACCACAACTTCCCATGGCACAACTTAAGGCCATTTCCTCCTGTCCTATTGCTTGCTACATGGGACAAGAGAACAACCCCCACCACGCTACAGCCTCCTGTCAGGGAGTTGTCAAGAGCCAGAAGGTCACCCTTGAGCCTCCTTTTCTCCAGGCTTAACAACCCCAGGTCCTTCAGCTGCTCCTCACAAGACCTATGCACTAAACCTTTCACCAGTTTTGTTGCCCTTCTTGGGACACACTCCAGCACCTCTTGGACTTTCTTGGATGAGGGGTCCAAAACACAATACAGTATGATCAGAGTCAGTATGCTTCCCATATAGCATATATGACTTTTTTCCATAGAAAAGTCCTGTAAAATATTCAAAATCACTCTTCAGCCTGTTGATTCCATCAAGGCAATGCAAATGCAATAATCACCATCATTTTGTGAAGTGATTTCTATAAAATTATCTGAAGGTAGACCTTTAAAAAAATTTAAACCTAAAAATGTTACATTACAGGAAAGGGTAAAAATGATGAGAGGCATATTTATTCAGTCTTTAAAAAGCAAGCTCATCTTCATTATATTTTGCTCTATACCTCATAACATTCAGTGTTTGTTTTGATGACATATATATTTTCTTTGGTTTCCCCTGACAACAAGCATCAGATATTGTACCAGAATGTCAGCAGAATAAGATGACACTGTATTACTATTTAATTGATTAATTTATTATAGGATATATCACACTATCCATGAAAGCCTTTCAAATATTAGGGAAGGTAGTTCTAACAACATTCATAAGGAATAACAAAATAATATTACTTCTATTTTAAAACTATGAACAGAAGTCTGGAGAGCAGAATAGTTTCCTTACATTGATACATAGAAACTATGGCAAAATTTAAAATATAACCCAGATATTCTGGATTTAAAGATTCCTCCCATTGACTAATTTCAACCATACATGACTGACAAGTAATTTTCAGAGTGAATTAAGCACCTAAAAACTTTATTAGCCTATAAAACAGAAGAGATGAAAGGAAAATGTATGGACATCTATGTAGTAAGTTCTAATGTTGTCAAGATTTTCCAGTTAACCTTACTGGCATTATAAAAATGTACCTTAGAAGAAAATTTTAAAAGGTTTATAGTTAAGATTTTCTGTTATTGTTTCAATAAGAAGTTGAGACATCCATTAGTATCATAATTTTCTTTTTCCCATATTTGTAGCTGTATTTCCACAAGAGTAGTGTATGAACATAAAGAACAGTTAAGATTTTCTGTTATTTTTTCAATAAGAAGTTGAGACATTCATTAGTATCATATTTTTTTTTCCCACATTTGTAGCTGTATTTTCACAAGAGTAGTGTATGAACATAAAGAACTTTTAACTTATTTAATCATCCATTAGTATCATAATTTTCTTTTTCCCATATTTGTAGCTGTATTTCCACAAGAGTAGTGTATGAACATAAAGAACTTTTAACTTATTTAATTTCTCTATAACTCACAATATTAAGTTTTATAAAAAATACAGCAGTGATACAGAATTGTCACTACTGTAATGCAGAAAATAAATAGATGGATGAATAAGGAAAACCAGCTTTTTGAATAGGGTATAAAGATAACACACCCCTGAATAATTGGTGGTGTTCAGATACAATCAAAGTTGGAGAGATACAACTTCAGTGACACCACTGTCTGGACTCTTAAATACAAGAGTGTTCAGGACGAAGTCATCTTTATTGCCAAGTTGTATAATTTCAGACATTGAATAAACATTATTGTGATTGTATTAAAAAAAAAAAAAAGTATACTATCTATTAAGTATCTGAATATTAATAATGATGGTTTGAAACACCAAGTAGATTTCTGTTCTTCCTAAATTTGAATTATACCAGACAATATGCTTTCCCAGCTGCCAATGACCTCAAATCACCATGGGTTAGAATTAAATGGGAATAATCATCAAATTAAAACTGTCCTTAACCTCCTGAATCAGTTGCCTTTTCACCTTTCTTTCTGTTATTAATTGAAGCCACTTGGAAATTATTCTTAAATTACCTTTAAGAAAAACTTCATCGCATTCAAAAAAAAACCTCCATGTGATTAAATTATAGGCCATGACTTAACAATTACTTACTGTACCTTTTGAGACAGATTCAGACATAAAATAGAAGAACTTTAGAACCAAGACTGCCTTTCTCAACCACTGCTTTGGACTGGACTCACCTGTTGTCGTCTAGCAGCTACATAGTTCAGTTTTACCATCTCTTTTCCAAACTCTTTAAAACGATTTGCTAAATCTTGCTCATTTGTGGCATTTTTCACTGCTTCTAGTGCTTCCTCGACCTAGAACATAATACATCAATTGTGTTAGCATGTCATATTATGCAATAAATATTCTACCCAGCACTCTGTATTATATAGACCAAATTTAGCTTTTACATCCATCATTGTACAGTGGCTTTATGATAGTCCCACTAACTTTAATTAGGTTTCTTAATAGAAAAACTCTTTTACTGACATTCTGCTTTACTTTCCATTTACTCAACATTGGTATCTTGTAAAACTAATGTAAAAGGCACAACTATATTAATTTCCCCACTCACACTTATCAGATGAAATGCTTAATATCAGTGGGGTTTAAAACAAAATAGATGAATATGTTCCTAATGTCTGGTACAGGTTTTATGAGAAAAGAAAGGGAAGTTATTAATTCTGGACAAAGAATAACATTTGAAAAGGAAACTCAAAATTACTATTAAGATTTAAATTTATCCTGAAATATCCAAAACACTGCATCTTTGTGAAATAAATGAAACAACAATAGAGTCAACCCAGAATATGTATGTATATATATATATA